GATCTGATGGCCACCTATAAGTTTATCAGGGGTGACCACCAGTATCTGGGGGAACGTTTGTTCACCAGAGCGCCCCAAGGGATGACGAGGTCGAATGGTCACAAACTACTTCAAGATCGTTTCAGGCTGGAGATAAGGAAGAACTTCTTTACTGTCCGAGCCCCCAAGGTCTGGAACAGCCTGCCACCAGAGGTGGTTCAAGCGCCTTCATTGAACACCTTCAAGATGAAACTGGATGCTTATCTTGCTGGGATCCTATGACCCCAGCTGACTTCCTGCCCTTTGGGCGGGGGGCTGGACTCGATGATCTTCCGAGGTCCCTTCCAGCCCTGATGTCTATGAAACTATGACTCCCTGGTGAGTTTGTAAATGGCCACCAGATCCCCTCTCAGCCTTCTCTTGTGGAGGCTGAATAGATTCAGGCCCTTCAGCCTCTCTTCGTATGGCCTGCCCCGCTACTCCTTGACCATGTAAGTGGCCCTCCTCTGGACCCTCATAAATGCTAGCCACATCCCTCTTGAAGTGCAGCATGCAGAACTGGACACAGTACTCCAATTGTGGCCTGACCAATGCCGCATAGAGGGGCAGGATCACCTCCCTGGACCTGCTTGTGATGCATCTGTAGATACACGACAAGGTGCAGCTAGCCTTACTGACCGCTTCCTTGCTTTGGCGGCTCATGTCCATCCTGGATTCAACAATGACTCCCAGATCCCTTTCTGCCACCGTGTTGACAAGAAGGGTGTTTCCCAGTCTATAGGTGTGTTGCTGGTTCCTTCTCCCTAGATGCAGTACCTTGCACTTGTCTGCATTGAATTCCATCCTATTCTCATCTGCCCACCTCTGTAATTTGTCTAAATCTAACTGGATTCTGTCCTTCCCCTCCAGCACGCCCACCTTGCCGCACAACTTGGTATCGTCAGAGAATTTGGAGAGCATGCATTCCACACCCACATCCAGATCACTGATAAAGATGTTGAACAGTACAGGCCCCAGGACCGAGCCCTGGGGGACTCCACTGGCCACATCCCTCCAGGTTGAAAACAACCATCCACCACCACTCTCTGGGTATGACCATCTAGCCAATTTGCTGCCCACCTGATCCTGTAGGCATCAATGCCGCAGTCACCTAGATTTTTTAAGAGAATGTGGTGGGAAACCGTGTCAAAGGCGTTCTTAAAGTCCAGGAAGATGACATCCACCCCGACACCCTCTTTCAGGGGCTTTGTGACCTGATCATAAAAAGAAACCAGGTTAGTCAGGCAGGACCTGCCCTCAGTGAACCTATGTTGGTTGCCCCTGAGCATTACCTCCCCTGCTGGGCCCTTGCAGCTGTGCTCTTTCACAGATTTCACAGACATTAGGGCTGGAAGGGACCTCATAAGATCATCGAGTCCAGCCCCCTGCCCCAGGGGCAGGAAGTCAGCTGGGGTCACAGGATCCCAGCAAGATAAACATCCAATTTTTTCTTGAAGGCGTTCAAAGTAGGTGCTTGAACCACCTCTGATGGCAGGCTATTTCAGACCTTGGGGGCTCGGACAGTAAAGAAATTCTTCCTTATGTCCAGCCTGACATGGTCTTGTAGGAGTTTATAACTGTTCAACCTTGTCATCCCTTGGGGGGCTCTGGTGAACAATTGTTCCCCCAAATCCTGGTGAACACCCCTGATAAACTTATAGGTGGCCATCAGATCACCCCTGAGCCTGTGCTTTTCCAGGCTGAAGAGTCCCATGGCTCTCAGCCTGTCATAGTAAGGTCTGTTTTCCTGACCTCTGATCATGCGCATGGCTTTTCTTTGGACTCTTTTGATAATTTTCTCAAAGGTCTTCCCAAGGACCAAGGTAAGACTGACTGGCCTATAATTGCCAGGGTCCCCCTTTCTCCCCTTCTTGTAAATGGGGACCACATTGGCCCTTTTTAAATCCTCTGGTACCTGGCCAGAGCCCAACAAGCACTCATAGAGCAGTGCCAGGGGCCCCGCTATGACCCCTGCCAGTTCCCTCAGCACCCTTGGGTGAAGAGCATCTAGACCTACTGATTTGTACTGATTGTATTAGTCTCCTTGATTTTACTGACCTTTTTTTTCTATCAGTATCATCCTTTGTGTTTCTCCCCTTAGTCTTTCCAAAATTTTCACCCAGGGCTTAATGCATCTTGATTTCCCTGAATATAATTTCACCTGAATAAGCATTTATAAGAAACTCCAAGACATAATCAAATCATTTTCAGTTTTTTGTGTGTGTGTTAATTCACGTCTCTTTTTATAAGTGTAGAAGATCCATAATTCCCTATTCCTGCCTTCTGCCATTCCCAGGAGTATTGAGCTGCATGCAGGTCAATAGTTTTCACTAGTGCTAACCGAACGTACCTTTTTCTCTAAAGCAGGTTAGTTTGGGATTGTGCTATGGTGGTTTGTATTACTTAACTTGCACAAACTAACAGTGGAGTAACAGAGCTCTAAATATGAAGCAGAAATAAAGAAATAAAGAAGGTTGATTCCTTATTGAGTGTTGGATAAAATTAGTAGGGCAGGATGAATATTCACTGAATAATCTGTGTCATCCTTTTAGGACTCTTTTCATCGATCATGCGAGAGCTGGCCAACATCACACATGATGGTCCTAAGTGGATAGTACTGGATGGGGATATTGACCCAATGTGGATTGAGTCTCTTAATACTGTCATGGATGATAATAAGGTAATATGTGTGAGCTAGGGAAATGGCTATTGCTTGACCACATGGCACAAATCAAGCCTAGAAGAAGCACATATGCTGAAACAATTGCTGATAGTATAAAACAATTATTATTGTGTTTCTTCAAATAGAAAAAAAAATCAAATGAAGATAATATTGCATCAGATAAGTAGAAGAACAAAGCATGGCTTTCTGGGATCATGTTGTTATATTGGAGAGGTGCAGATAAAATTGTTTTTCTGTTGCAGCCACTACTTCAAAATCCAGGAGCCCTCTTAAAAATAAAAGACGTGCTCTTGTTACAAAATGTGTTTTTTGTCCTTTCCCCTTGCATAGGGTTTGCATTCTGGAATACAGTTCTCTTCATAAGATATATGATAGTGGAGAGAGATATTTATATGGTTCAAAATTGCCTACTTGTAATTCAGCATCTCAGAAAATATCCTTGGGATCCTTGCTTTTGAGCTGTAGGCTCCATGCAGGATTCTTATAATAGCTCCAAAATTTTCTGGCACATGAGCCACTGATGTGTCTTCAACAATGCAAAGCAACCATCTCTTTGGAGAATAGTGCTTAACCTTTCTCCTGTGGGACAAATATGGCCCATGGAGCTATGTCATCTGGCTCACAGGGTTCCCCACAGGTCTGGAAATTTGGCAGCGGAGAGGACTGGCACTTAATGCTGTCATCACAACCCTGCTAACAAATTTACAAGTCTTGTGGACAGGTGACATGGCTCTGTGCATCAGGTTGGTCTGATATGTGGGATTGGGGCTGGGGCTGGAGCTGGGGCCTGCCCCAGTGTGCTAGGCGTCAGAGCTGGAATCTTATATGACAAATGCAGGGCTGGGACCAAGTCCAAAGCCTGGCCCAGGATGTCGCATGCATGGCCATAAGCTAGCAGAGAGCAGATTTAGACTGGACATTAGGAAGAACTTCTTCACAGTTAGAGTGGCCAAGATCTGGAACGGGCTTCCAAGGGAGGTGGTGCTCTCCCCTACCCTGGGGGTCTTCAAGAGAAGGTTAGATAGGCATCTGGCTGGGGTCATATGAACCCAGCACCCTTTCCTGCCTATGCAGTGGGTTGGACTTGATGATCTATTGAGGTCCCTTCCGACCCTAACATCAAATCAGATACAGATCACGGTAATGCACTGGTAGTGCAGCGAAAATGAGTTCTCAGGAGACATGAAAAGTTTTAGCAAACAGGTTTAAGGAAGTAAAGCTGATTAAACGTCAGACCTAGACAGGTTACATGGGTGGGCGGATGAGAACAGGATGGGTTTCAACACTGACAAGTGCAAGGTGCTGCACCTGGAGAGGAAGAACCAGCAGCATACCTACAGGCTGGGGAACTCCCTTCTCGTCAGTGCAGAGGCAGAAAAGGATCGTGGAGTCATTATTGATGCCAAAATGAAAATGGGCCAGCAGTCTGGGGACATGGTCAGGAAGGCCAACCACACCTTGTCATGCATCCACAGATGCATCTCGAGCAGGTCCAAGAAGGTTATCCTCCCTCTCTATGTGACACTGGTCAGGCCGCAGTTGGAGTACTGCGTCCAGTTCTGGGTGCCACACTTCAGGAGGGATATGGACAACTTGGAGTGGGTCCAGAGGAGGGCCACTCACACGATCGGGGCAGCAGAGCAGGCCCTACAAGGAGAGGCTATGGGACCTGAACCTGTTTAGCCTCCACAAGAGAAGGCTGAGGGGGGATCTAATGGCCTGTTACAAACTAGTCAAAGTGGACCAGCAGGCATTGGGGGAGTCCCTGTTCCCCCGAGCGCTACCAGGAGTGACTAGAAATAACGGTCACAAGCTGGCAGAGGGTAGATTCAGACTGGACATCAGAAGGCGCTACTTCACAGTCAGGGCGGCTAGGATCTGGAACCAACTTCCAAGTGAAGTGGGCCTCGCTCCTACCCTGGGGGTCTTTAAGAGGAGGTTAGACGAACACCTTGCTGGGCTCGTTTGACCCCAGTACTTTTTCCTGCCATGGCAGGGGGTCTTACTTGATGATCTGCTCAGGTCCCTTCCAACCCTACCTACTATGAAATTATGAACATGAGATTTTACATTGTCAACTTGTATTTGTCTACGCTTTGCAGGTGCTGACATTAGCAAGCAATGAAAGAATACCCTTGAACCCAACTATGAGGCTGCTCTTTGAGATCAGTCACCTTCGCACAGCCACTCCAGCAACAGTGTCCAGAGCAGGTAAGTCATGAAACAAGAAGATGGAATTCATGTGCACTTGCAGTATGCAAATGGATCTAGATTTAGCCTGGGATTTTTAATGGATGTGAAGGAGTTAAATATCAATTGCCCATTGACATTTCATATTTAGCTTCCCTTTGAAACTCCCAGACTTATTTCATAGTGCCATTAGTAGCCAGATATGTGATAGAGGAATGGGTAAACACCTTCAGAAAAACAAGAATAGTCCAGAGTCTTAAGCCAAAATACTAATCACATCAGTGGAGGGTCACCTGGAAACACAAGCTGTTTCTTGTTACACTTTTCTTCTGAATCCTGTAGGTAGTAGCTTGAGATTTTAAGCAGAATTCATTGATGAGTGACAAGTAATGATGAGCAGGAGAATTCCAGAAGTGCTTAATGAACTCTGTTGTAGGGCAATGGATGAATGCATTGAGACAGTCCCTGCACAGAAGAGCTTGCAATCTAAATAGGTAAGGCATGCAGTGTGAGAGAATGGAAGGATTGTTGCCCCTTTGTTATAAGTGAGGAGACTCAGAGAAGTGGATGTAAACCATCTATTAATTTTCCATGATGTTGCTTCCACAGACTTGGTCCTATCAGAACCATTCTGAGAAGTCTGGCAGCTCTCAAGGCACTTGCATACATCCTTCACAACTAGCATGCCACTGTCCCAGGACATAGATATACCATCCTGTCTAGCCTATTAGTTCTTCAGTTGCTAGTAGCAATTATGCTTACCAACCCTTATTTTTCCCTTTTTGTGGAGAGTACTTGGCTGTAGGTGTAGAGATTGTGCCTTCATGTGTGAACAAACAGCATCCAGCACTTTGTGAAAGTCTATCTATTGCCCACATGCAATAGATATAAGGAAGCAATGTTACCTGGATGCCATGAAGCACAGCTGAAAGTTCTGCTAGTCCTTCAAAGGTAGTGCAGTGATCAAAATAGAAATCACCAGGCATGTAGCAGGATAAGTACTGTACTTACTAAATGGTTATTTGAATGAATGGTAGTGTTAAAGTGATGTTATAGCCGTGATGGTCCAAGGAATAATTCAAGAAAAGGATTTCTTAGGATGATATCTTTTATTGAACCAACGGCATAGTTGCAATAGAGTTAGACAAGCTTTCACATATAAGATATTTTTTCGCCTGAAAACAAAGATGATGTTACATCCTTGCTGTACCTGTCTTTCTTGCGCTGTGCCTGTAGGGATTCTGTACATCAACCCAGCAGACTTGGGCTGGAATCCTCCAGTGAGCAGTTGGATTGACAGACGAGAATACCAGTCAGAACGTGCTAACCTGACCATTTTGTTTGACAAGTATCTGCCATCTTGCTTGGATACACTTAGAGTGAGGTATAGTATAAAAGATATATACTACCTATGCTTCAAGCAACTAAAGAGTAGCACCTGTGGCAGAATGCCACCTCTGTCTCTCCCCAAAACCTCGGCTATGTGACAATTTGGTTAACGTGGTCCCTGCAGAGGGCAGACATCTCAACTTTTTAGGTAACCCTGAGTTGTAACCTGAGTTGGATACATTCCGGAGGGAGCGGGGAAACCTGCTTCCTTTGCCTACATTACTGGCATCACATACCTGGGTGTGGGGCTTAGGCTCCTTATTACTCTAAGCAATGCCAGTCTACCCAGCAACCAGTGATGCATTTCAAATTGGTTAGCTGGCAGTCAACAGGTGCTGGCCTCCATTGGACCAGGTAAATGAGGTCATAAGGTCTATATAAGTTAAGGACTGCCCAGGAGGAGGGGCACTAGCCATGATAAAAACTCAGAGAGAGAGAGAGAGAGAGAGAGAGAAGCTGGACCATCTGAAACTTGCTCTCTCTCTTAAAACTCATGATCAATTAACTGCCTGCCTCCAGAGGGAATCTCCACCTGCCTCTGGATGATACTCACGAGTAAGCTATCTGAGATCTAACTAGATATATAGGTTTCAGTAACTCAGATGCGTAATCAAAGGCTACCTAGCCACCCTGTTTGCTCTATGGGATTTCTTTGATATTGCTATACCCTGTACCCTATTCCAAACCTACTCCTTGTAGCCAATAAAGTTCTCCTTTGTACCTAGCGTGGGAGACGTATTGGGAGTGGGTCTAGATTATACCTTGGGGTCCCCTTGTTTCGGCTGACTAAGGGAGACCACTATTTGTGCTTCAGACTGAGTAAAGCACCCCAAGTTCTTGGAGTGGGTCAAGTACCATCCAGGACTACTAGACCTGTGTTTCCCAGGGGACACAGAGCAAGGATCAGTCCAGACCCTGGGTGGTGGCAGCGTTACCCCCAGGCTAGCGGGTGTGGTCCAGGAAAGGGGTCAGCCAGATGTGAGGCGCCCCAGGGAGGCACTCGGAGCTTACAAAGTGCGCAGTGATTTGGGTGGTTCAGTGCAGAAGCATCCCCTACTGGCCTGCCACAGCACCCACGATGTCTCCCAGCCCAGCAGGTTTTGGTTGTAATAGAGCTGCATATGACACCATTGAACATTTTCCTTCACTGCCCCTGAAAGGCCAGGGCATTTTTGGTTTTAATTCAGTATAACAAGTTTGTATGGGAAAGGAGAAATAACTCCAAAACTCACTTTCTTCACTTAGGTGGGGCCCACTGTTCATATCCTTTGCCTATCCTACCACAACAAAGAAGAATTCAAACAATTTGTCAGGCAAAAAGTTTCTATCTAATTATGAGCAAAGTTGGGGGATGGGTCACCTGCCTTACAAGTACATTGGTGGGCTGGCAAGGAGCCACCAATGGGCTGGCTCCTTGCCAGCCCATTGAAGAATTGAAGATTGAAGAATTGAAGAAGCAAGGAGCAAGACTACAGTTCAAATTTTTATTCTTTACACTTAAACTACAAGATGCACACTTATCCTAGAACCTGTCTAACGGGTGCAGCAGAGCACATGTTCTCACCTGAATTCTCAGGTGAGGACTTGGTGAGATAGATGGGATCACACTAGCCCTAGGTTCTTTCAGGGCTTCCTTGGTTTTTTCTTTATAATTCTGATTAATCCTATCTATGTGTATGTTTCTGGGATGTTTGGGAACCAATGTAAGCTTGACTCTCCAGTGATCTGCAAATTTTCAGTTATCCCAAATCGATGTCCTTGTTAAGTTACAGTTTTTGTGGGGGAAATTCTTATCAATTTCATTAGTGTTCTGGAATGGCTCTGTCACTTTTCTTCTTTTCTTTCCTTCCTTAATAGTCTCACTAACAAAGCTGTCTTCTTTGTATCTGTCTCTAAAGTTTTTAACAGCTTGGTTATGAAAACAGGAAAGGGCTATGCAATGCCAAGTGTACAACCTGCATCACCCAGTGTGGGACACCTGTCATCAAACCCTCCTCAGTGAAAAATTACGAACAAAAAAAAAATCCAAATATATCTTTTAATTATAACAACAGAAGACAACACAATAACAATAGCACAATAACAATGGACCCAGCACAATAACATCAAAGAGCAAACAAAAACCTTACGCAGAAAAGCATTAAAAATCACAATATGTATGTATGTTCATTATATTTCTCCTTGGTAGTGAATAATTTGCTCACCAGCTTCACTGTTGCTGCTGCTCCCTGTATTCTGAATGCAGTTAGCAGCACATTGAATCCACCACCTTCTCTGGAGCCTCTGGATGGATCCAGCAGACTTCTATTATTTCTTCTTCCCTTCAGAGCAGGACACATGCTACTCTGGCTGAAAGAAAAGTCATTCAAATTTTCCTCAACCTCCTTCAGTTCTTGAGACACAGGACAGACTTTTTTGCCTCTCTGCCAGGTCACCCAGCCCTGATCAGTGTTTTCAATAGGACAGTTCCTTACCATGTACCAAACCTTGCCCCTGTTCACAGAGGGCTCTTGTACACATGATGAGGGTTTAGTCCTTCAGGGTTGCATTCTTTGTCCCATAAATTGAAATGGTGGGTTTTATTTTTCCATCGTTGTTTACACACTATCGGTCTTAAATCTCATTAAATGCTCAGTGCGCTATTCACAGTAAATTACTGCAGGGAGTGCTGCATAACAGTCCATCCTGCTGATCTCTTCATACTAAATTAGAGTAGGGGGCACTGCACACCTCTCTTCCCTGCTACAGACTGGCAATATCTGTAGCTCACAGCTTGCTGATATGTACAGGTGACGAAAAGTGGTATGATTTCATTAATTTAATAATTTAATTAAGTATAATTTGATTGATTTCTTTGCACCCCATGAATTTCTTATATATATCTTTGTACATGTATTGGAATGTGGTGGTGCACTAATTCAAACTCCGATAATGCACTCCCTGCATTATCTCACAGATTCACAGAAGTTTAGGGCTGGAAGGGACCTTGTGACATCATAGGATCCAGCCCCCATGCTCTGGGGTTTATGACCATTGCTTCTGGTTTTCCCCTGGGGTGCTTTGGTGAATAGTTGTTCATCTAGCCCCTGATGCTCACCCTTAATGTATTTGTAGGCTGCCACCAAATCCCCCCAAAGTCTTCTCTTTTTAGGCTGAATAGTCCCATATCTATCAGCCTTTTTTCATATGGCTTGTTCTTCAGGCTTCTAATCGTATGAGTGGCTCTTGTCTGGGTTCTCTCAAGCTTCTCCACGTCCTTCTTGAAGTGTGGTGCACAGAACTGGACATGATACTTCAGCTGTGGCTTCACGAATGCTGAGTAGAGTGGAAGAATAACTTCCTTAGTTTTGCTCTAGATGGATTGGTTAATGCATGCCAGTGTGTTGTTTGCTCTGCTAACTGTATCATCACACTGGTGGCTTGTAATAATTTTATGGTCAATTATGACCCCCAGGTCCCTTTTGGCTATGGTACTAGCTAGTGTAGCATGACCAAGCCTGTAAGTTTGTTATGGATTTTTCCTCCCCAGATGGAGCACTTTATATTTCTCAGTGTTGAACAGCATCTTGTTCTGGTCCGTCCATCTAACTAATCTGTGTGTGGGCCGGGAATGGTCCGAGGCCCTTTTTTCGCGTGGCGGGCTGTGGCGAGCAGCCCGGATACGCCGGGTCGGGGAAGACAGGCGGCACGCTAGAATTAGGCACGGACGCTTAGTGGTTGATTTAAGATTATTTTACTTACACCGAAGATGGTTGCGGTGCAGGCAGGAAAACTTGCTTGAGTTGCGGTTACAAAACAAAACAAAAACTCGAACCTGCAGAACATAAGGGTACGTCGCAATGGGGTTTCGGCGACGGGAAGAAAAAAAACTGCAGGACTCGAACCCTGGGTAGAGCTCTGGATTCACTCACATGAAGTTTGCTAGGCTCCGTGGAACTTGCGCGCAGGAAAGGGTACGTCGAGGGATCAGGCGGCGACGGGGAGAGGCGAGAGGTTGATCAGACCCCTATAGCCTTCTTGAGATATACGCTGGGTCCGATAGGCTCCGCAGCGCTTAGAGATCTTCACGAGATGTGAAGTTCTCCTCCTCCTGATAGTCGTGGAGTCCTCCAACTTGGGCAGAAACCACTCAAGCCTCTTATACGGCTAGCAAGCCAATCGCTAGCCGCCACGTAGGAATAATTTAGAACTGGCCAATAGTGGTGCACGAATCTGAATACAAATGGCGGGAACTCCTTGCAACGTGCATTTCTCTGTTGCAACAAAGAAATGCACCCTGCAAAGAAAGCTACGAGTGGCGGGAAATAATTCAGCAGTGCCGAAGCACATGCAAACAAAAAATCACACCCTTGGGTTGTGACAATCTGTTTAGATCATCCTGGATTGTCAGCCTACCCTGATGCGTGGCTGCACTTCCCCACAGTGGTGATCGGCGATGTCTCAGCAGGTGAGGACGCCCCAGAGGCTTCTGACCCTGTGCGTTCACAGCAATCCAGTACCTCCATTAGCTGCTGGAGGTCTCTGTTATGGGCCACATCACACATTGGGGTGCCCTGCCACTGTGTTCTGGAAAAATCCATGTGGAAAGCAGCCCGTAGCATCTTTGCTTTGATATGGCACTGAACCCCCATCGTGTTATTTCCCTGCTTACCCATTCTCCTGGCAACATCAAGGTAGATGTGCCAGTTAGCCCACGGACTGCAGACAAACTGGTGCACAGCCTCAGGATCCCCCAGCACCTGCACAAGGTTCCTTGTTTTGGCTACGGTCCAATTGGACCTAGACTCAGTCCGCTTCATTCTCCCTTGAATATCAGACATCTTTGATCAATAAGGGGTACCCTAGGAAGCTGTGCGCTCAATTTATAAATCTTGAGGTAACAGAGCCAAAGGAAGTTCACCTCCCTCCCACCCTGTTGTTGCTGGGTAAAGTTTGGACATTGGATATGCTGCTGACAGGCAGGGTCAAGGCAGGGAACAGGGCTCTGCACCCGTGGCAACTTTGTATCTTATGGGAATACTTGCTCTGGATGTCTTTTAGCCCTGCTAGGTCTTTTAGCCCCATGTATGCCATGGCACAGTAACAGGCTACCCAATGAGCCATGTACTGAGATGCCCTTGATGGGTGCCCACAGGTGCTCTTGGGGCATGGCACAGCAGCAGGCTACCCAGTAACCCATGTGTCAAGACGTAGCTTGTGAAGGAATGAATGCTGACCGAACTCACCCACTATCCATTAAGCGGGCGTGCTTAATGCTTATGTGGGCTTGCTTGTCAGGTTTACGTAAAATCAGCGAGCGATTAATGGTGCTATGAGGACAATTATGCTGCAGCCAGCCGAAGAGGGATGTTTTAGAGGGGCAGAGTAGAGGGGAGCAGGGTTCCTCACAGCTGTTGCCAGGCAAAGTCTGGGGATCTTTGGGCACATGAGAGCTATGCTATGTGACTGTTGCAAGTTTTGGCACTAGTCAGCAGTGTTCACCAGGGCTCCCCCCTGGCCTGCCAAGGGTGTCCTAAAACATTCGTTACACACAAATACCTGCAAATTGTAGCAGCACTTGGTGGACAAGGGGGCTCACTACATGAAAATTGTAGTGACACCCAATGGTCAGAGGGGTTCACCACGTCATTCAGTGTACATGTGATAGATTCATAGCTGCACCGTTCCAAGTTGTGTCATCACACACTAAACTACATCGGGATGGGGATTAGTTTATGATGATGCAAACTCATTTAAATCACCAAAAACTCGCATACCTGTAAAGTGTGATGTCATTAAGCTGCACAAAAGGGCAATTTTCATCACATACACAAGTGCCTCTGGGCCCAGCTACCACTCCCCTTTGGACCCACCTACCACACACCCTCCACCCTCATTGCTAGGATAGAATTTCTTATCTCCCCTTAAACTTCACAGTATACCCAACATGTCCACCAGCCACTACCATATCCCCACTGTGTATGCTCAAGAGGGTCTTGCTGCCCTTCCCAAGATGAACTTGGTTTTAAAAGTTCCCTTCTACAGGACAAGGGTGAGTTACATAAGCTTATAGGGACCAGATAGCAATACATAAACTATACAAGGTTGCATACTAATTATTATCAAAATAACTATGGGTATAGCATCTATGTAATCTGGCACTCTTGCGGGGCTCTCTGACCTTTATTATTGTACTCTGTAGTGTTGCTCTCTAATCCTCTATAGTGGGTATTAAGGACACTACAAGGACCCAGATTCTATGATCATACCAAATCTATCACAGGGAAGTTTCTCTGAAGTGAAGAGTTGAGCTCTTTCGCTATGAAGCTTCTGCTCTAAATACATTTTGTGACAGCTTTGTAATAATTGAAGTTAGTGCTTGTCCATTTCCAGCCTGGACACACTTCACTCTTGGCACCAGTTCTGTCAAAAGCAATTGTTTTCTTTTCAATATAATTAAGGTTTGCAGTAAATCATTTAAGCTCCCTGGGCATTTTAACACCTGCTCCAGGGGTGGGGAGTGCTTTAATTACAGTAGCTTTGACAGACACTAATTAAAGTGCTGCAGCATTTCATGTATCATCATCCCCATGCTTCAAAATGGCAGTGGGGGCACTTGAACTAAAGCTCACTTGATGAGCTTTAGTTCAAGCATCCCTGCTGCCATTTTGAAGTGCAGGGATGCTGATACACGAAACATGGGATGCTGCTGAAGCACACTAATTACTACACTTCAACGCACTGTAATTACAGTGCATTGGAGCAGCCTCTCAGCCTGTCTACAGGCACCCCCTGTTCTGTACAGGTTGAACTGTTACCCATTTGACTTCCAACTAATGCCCATGTTTTAGGAAGGGTGACCAATGATGAGGCATCGAGGCCCCCATTCTATTAAATGTTTGTCTTGTATAGAGCTTCTATGAGGCTGCACTTGCATAGCAGCCTTGGAAACTTATCATCTCAACTGGGAAATGACTGAGACTGGTAGATATGGAGTTCTGCAGATAGACTACCATCTTCTATTCAACTGCCTTTACTGGTCAAGCTCAGTTAATGAGCAAAAAAACAGCTTAAATATGTGTACACTGGGGCAGAGATCACTTAATCAAAAACTAGGCAGCTGCTTCAGTGGGAAACACCCTAACAAAATCGAGGGTTTGTAGTAGCAGGGTTTTTGCTACCCTAACTGTGGAGGTTGTGTAACCAGTCAGCAGCACAATCTGTTTTCTGTGCATTGTGATGGAGTATGAAAATCCCAGGATTAGCTGTAGGCAGTTATAAGCCAAATGTTTTTATAACTTGTTTAATTCAGAAATCGAAGCACCAACAAATAACAGGAATTATTTGATGAAAGACTTTAGCGTTATGCTGGCTGCCTCAATATAAGTTAATAATTCAGTAAATATAATGTAAGTCAATGTAAAATGGCAAGATTAAATTTGTTATTATTTTTCTATCTGACTGTTACTGAACTCATCCTGTTCTCAAGAAATCTTTGCCTCTAGCAAATTTCCTATTTTACTTCTTCCAAGAGGATCAAAGCTTGAGGCATTTTAAAACTTTTGATTATTGTTATTACTTGTGTGTGTGCTTGTGTCAGCAGGTCCAAGGAAGAGAAACTGGTATTTTATTTATTTGTTGTACTGGTGAATGAGAGACTGCAAAACAGTAAAATGTTAATATTCTGGAAGTGGATTTCTATGCATCTGTTGTGATGGTGAATGACTATTGTTATCAGTCCAGTTATACTTTACATATGACCAATTTCCATCCCTTAGATTTAAGAAGATTATTCCTGTTCCAGAGCAGAGTATGATTCAGACATTATGTTTCCTCCTTGAATGTCTCCTGACTAAGGAAAACACTCCTCCTGACTGTCCCAAGGAACTCTATGAACTTTACTTTGTTTTTGCTGTTGTCTGGGCCTTTGGTGGAATGATGTTCCAAGACCAGGTAAGATGGAAGCTACTAAGTACAGGATGAATTAAGTTTACCTCTCATTTAGACAGGACTTTCTTTTCTTACACTTATTCAAAGTAGTGACTCCCAAGTGGCATTGTGTTTTAGTGGGGCTAAAAGTGTAACTGTCAATGGGAGAGAAATCTCCGGAACAGTGAAGGGTTCTGTTCTTTTGCCGATCTTATAGATAAAACATTTTTGCAAAAAGTGCTGTTACATAAGGGGTAGTATAGGAAAGAAAGGGACAGTGATCAAAGATAAGAGGGATTTTATTTATAAATAAATATTTTGTTGTAAATATTAAGTTGAAGTAGTAACACATAACATAACATGACGGTGGTTAAAGAGCAACCTTCCAGATGAATACATCATTGGAACAGCATATCAACCAATTGCTAAAGCCTGTTATCCCATTGCAGATTAATAAGTAGAAGCTTCATTGTAGTAGCATAAATCAAATCATACGTTGTTATCAACGAACTCTGTAAAAGATGAGCAAGTATAGGCAATAAGATTTCCAAAATTTCCAAAACTGAACAGAGCAGAATGTAGCACTGAGATTATTGAGTCTATTTTAAATACACATTGGTGATTCATTAGTGAGGATCTGTACAAGTTTACAGAGGCTTCAGAAGAGCTCACATGCTGGGTGCATTCCAAGTGTGGCAGTATTCTGAAAATCTCATAAGTAACACAACTGGCTGCTGAACACTTTTGGAAATATTATTTTTCTTTAGGTGAACACTGGACTCTTGGGTTAGGGATAGACATTCCAAAAGCCTCAGCCTGAATTGATTCAATCGTTGCAGGTTAGTCTAACCTGCCTAGGTTGAACTGATTTGTAACAGCGCAGACATTCCTTGCGGCCTGAGGAAATGCAGGCACAGTTGCCTGCAGTTGCTCAGGTCAGGAACCGAGGGGTGCTAGAGCACGCTCTTGGCTGCAGGGAAGCTGTGCTGGCAGGGTGTGGCCAGCCCATGTAGTAGCTTTGGCTGAACTGGCCAGAAAGGAGTTAAATTCCCCCCTCCATGTCCCACCAGCAGGGACCCGAGCCAGGGCTGCTGGGTGTTCCCCCCTGACTGCTGCAGCAGGGGGCCAGCATGGCTCCTGAGGCAGAGGGGGCAGGGAAGGGGGTTATTCCCCGCTCTACCTCCACTGCCCCTAGGGGACTGCAGGCTTGACCACCACCGCTTGCTCCCTGCGTGGGGCCAGATGTCGGAGGGAGGGGGATAACTCCTGTCCCTGCCTCCCCCCTCAGGGGACCTGCCAGCCAGCATCTGGCTATGCCCTCACCCAGCCGCTGCAGCGGCAAGGGGGCAGGGCCCTTGATGGGGGCATCACCCCTATCATAGTGTTGGGGAGTACAAGCCCCTTCCTGGCAAGGGGGTCTCTCTGTGGGGCAGGCAGAGCTGAGGCAGACTGTGCATGCACCAGGGCTCAGATGGGGCCAGAGCCCCCCAAGCTGCCGTTGCCACTGTGGTCCACAGCAGCTTTCCCTGCTGGGAAGAGGCTCGTGCTTGGGAAAACCATGACAGGAACTGCTGCCCCTCTCATGGTTGCTCCCCTCTTGCTGCTCCGGCAGCTGGGTGGGGGCGGGGCCAGATGCCAACTGGTCCCTTAGGCAGGGGCTGGGAGCGGGGGTATTCCCCCCTCTGCCCCAGGGGCATCACAGCAGGGTCTGCCCTCCCCAGCCATTGCTGCTTGCTCTGTGCCTGGGGCAAGCAGTGAAATAAGCCCTGTCCTGCACCCTGATGTCCAGTGGAGGGGGCTTATTCTGTCACTTGCCCTGGGCACAGAGTGAGTGGCGGCGATGGCTAGGGCAGCCAGACCTAGCTGCATGCTTCAGGCAGCAGAACGGGGAACAACCTCATTTCCTGCCCCGCCGCTGAAGGGGCCCTGTGAGCCAGGATGTGGACCTACCCCTGCCCCTGCCCCTGTGCAGCTGCTGGAGCAGCAAGGGGAAAGCAACCATGATGGGGGAAGCAGCCCCTGTCATGGTTCCCCCAAGCACGAGCCTCTTCCCAGTGAGAAAAGCTGCTGCGGACCACCGTGGTGGCAGTGGTGGTGGTGGCTTGGAGGGCTCTGGCTCCCTCCAAGCCCTGGTGCTACTACACACAGTTTGTCACAGCTCTGCCCGACCTGCAGTGGGGTCTCCCCACAAGGAAGGGGCTCACACTCCCTGACACTATCACAGGGGCTGCTGCCCCCATCAAGGGCCCTGCCCCCTCACCGCTGCAGCAGCTAGGCTGCAGAGTGGTCAGACACCAGCTGGCAGGGTCTTTTAGGTGAGGGGCAGGTACAGGGGTTATTTCCCTTCCCTCCAGCATCGGGTGGAGGGGGCTTTTTCTGCCACTTGCCCCAAGCAGGAAATGAGCATGATGGTGGCAGCGGTCAGGGTGGGCAGACCCAGCTGTTGTCCCCTAGGAGCAGTGAGGGTTGAGGGGGGAGTAACTCTCCTCCCTGTCCCCTCTGCCTCCTGGGGCCAAGCTGCCCCACTCCTGCAGCAGTCAGTGGGAACCTCCATCAGGCAGACCCAGCTCAGGTCCCTGCCGGTGGGACAGGCAGGGGGGAATTAAACGTCCCTCTAGCCAGACACCCACCGCTGCCTGACCCTGCTTGTCCCTGCTCGGCTGGGGAGCAAAGGGGTGGGGCTAGCCCTGCTCAGCTGGAGCACGGAGCCGAGCCCAGAAAGCATGCCGGGATGCTGGTGGACTCTGGTTTCAGTTAAACCAGGAAGGGGTCTGGGACACACATTGCATAAACCAGTTTGAAATCAATCAGTTAAGTCTGATATAGTACATTCCACCAGGTTTATCTCAAACTGGTTTTGGCCATTTTTGAACTGGTTTATGTGCACTGAATGTCTGTACTGTTACAGGTTTAAACCAGTTTCTGATCACTTAAATCAGTTTATATGTAATGTCTATCCCTAGCCTTGAAAATCTGTCCCAGAGTTTTTCTGAAAAACTAGTCCTAGGCATCACTTTTGTTGTGCCATAAATGCAGTTGCAGGGTCACTTTATCTGTAAATGTAGAAAGTTGAAAGTGGGTATCTTTTGGCGCTATGCCTGACACACTGCTGTAAGACATTTCTTAGGTGTTGTATGAAAGTGTGTTGGTGAAATTCAGTCAAGATTTTGATGGACTGATATCAACAAAGATGAAAGTACCAGTGGGCAGCATTGCGGCCAGAATCAGAACGGGACATATAAATGAATTACATCTCTTTTCTCAGTCGAGAGATATGGTTGTCATGAGTGACCTAAACTACCCTGACATCTGCTGGGAGGAGCAGTCAGCCAAATCTAACCGCTCACGTAGGTTCTTAACCTGCAGACAGGACCTGCACCTAATGCAGGAGGTATATGATTCCACTAGGGGAAATGCCTTTCTGGACTTGGTGTTAGCTACAGGGGATGACCTGGTGGGGAATCTGCAGGTACAAGGTAACCTAGGGGACAGTTGCCATCGAATGATTGAATTCACTATCTGGTGAAGGGTGGGTAAACTAACTAGCAGGGCTGAAGTGCTAGCCTTCAGAAAGGCTAACTTCAGTAAGCTCAGGAGATTAGTTAGTGAGGCATTAAAGCTCAAGAGCATTGGTGAAACGGGGGTCCAGGAAGGGTGGTTGTTCCTCAAGGGAGTGATCCTGTGGGCGCAAAAGGAGACAATCCCATTGCACATAAAAGAGGGCAAAGGGGCCAAGATGCCCTCTTGGCTGATAAGGAAGTCCAGGAAAGCCTAAGGGTAAAGAAAGAGGTGTACAGGTTATGGAAACAGTGGGTAGCTACCAAGGAGGAGTATACCTCCTTGGCCCACACTTGCAGGGAATCAGTTGGGAAGGCCAAAGCAGGATTAGAATTTAGGCTGGCAACAAAAATTAAGGACAACAAAAATTTCTTCTTCAGGTATATAGGGAGCAAAAGGAAGGTACAGGGTAGCATAGCACCCCTACAGGGCAAACTAGGGCCACTGGTGACAGAGAGTGGGGACAAAGCTGAGCTATTCAGTGAGTTCTTTGCATCTGTATTCCTAGACACAGACCAAGACAAATCTCCCAGTTGGATCACAGATAGACACAGGAGGGACACCAGACCAGCAACTGTTAGCACAGACTTAGTGAAGAGGCACTTGGAGGGGCTGGATGTGTTCAAATCAGTGGGCCTGGATGAACTTCATCCAGGGGTGTTGAAGGAATTGGTCAGTGTCATAGCAGAGCCACTGGCACAGCTGTTCAAGCTCTCAAGGTGCTCTGGTCAGGTCCCAGAAGACTGGAAAAGGGCCAGTGCAGTCCCTATGTTCAAGAAGGGGAGGAGGGAGGAACTGGGAAGCTATAGGCCAGTTAGTGTCACCTCTCTCCTTGGGAAAACTCTGGAAAAAATCATTAAGGGTCACATTTGTGGGAGCCTAATAGGGCAAATAATGCTGAAAGGAAATAAGCATGGATTCATTGCGGGTAGATGCTGCCTGACTAACCTTGTTTCTTTTTCTGACCAGGTCACAAAATGCTTAGATGCAGGAGTTCAGGTAGATGTCATGTACCTAGACTTTAAGAAGGCCTTCAATACAGTATATCATTCTGTTCTTGTAAATAAACTGACAGGCTGTGATGTAGATGATTACATAGATTCATAGATTCATAGATGTTAGGGTCGGAAGGGACCTCAATAGATCATCAAGTCCGACCCCCTGCATAAGCAGCAAAGAGTGCTGGGTCTAGATGATCCCAGCTAAATACTCATCTAACCTCCTCTTGAAGACCCCCAGGGTAGGGGAGA